TAACTCTTCTAGTCTCTCAGTCACCGAGCTTTTTTGTTTGGTCTGGAAGTAACCTTCCTACACAGATCCCTGTGTGACTCTTGGCGTGACGACAGAGCCACACACTCACTGAACTGTCTGTCATCCTAACTATCACCTGTGTGGACGGCTGGAAGGTGAGTTTGTGAACCCACAGACCACACTCACCTGCTTTGACTCGTTGCGCCTGCTCTCAGGTTAACTAGCACCTTCAGTGAGGTTATAGGAGTGTCTGGAGCAGTGAGCGATCACTCGCACTTGCATCTGGGTCTGGTCTATAACTAAGCCCTGTGGAGGAATGGAGTGTGGCACCAGGCATCAGTCGCGAACTTGGCTGCGCGAGTACTGACTGCTTCTTCTGTCTTTTTAGCTGGTCAACCTGTTGCTGGACTCGTTGTATTGGAGGTCTTGGCACGAACGACCACTCGACTTCTGCACTCTGTTCTGGCTGTCCACTTGATGTAGCTACGCTGCTGAGTAAGATGGCATCTACAGATTCGTACTATTCTCTGCGACGTTCTGACCTGTGCTTGTCTGATTGTGACACTGTCAGGTGTTACACTGTGAGGCATCATGGATAGGTTCGGTCTCTACAGACGGGATCACTCACTGGTGACTGGCTGTCTATTGTGAACTATACCATGTGGTGAGCGACACTGAGTTCGGTATCTAGCCTGCTGGCTTGACTGTCGGTTCTGTTGATCTGGTGTGACCGTTGTGGCTGAGTGTTCCCTCGAACGGACACACACACACTCACTGACTGGCTCAGATACGGTCTGTTAGCATCCTCGAGCACACAGATTCATTTTGATTCACTTGTTGAGGGTTATTCTTCGTTAACAGTTTTCCTTTGATTGCCACCGCTGTGTTTGAACTCTTTTCCCGCCAGTGACGAGATAAAAGATGCGTTCTGGATTAAAATTAGGTCAAATAAATGAATAAACATGATTTCAATCCCATGTCTTTATTTTATTACTTCTGATTGCGTTTTCAAAGGTGAATATTTAATCATAAATATTTTATGGCAATTGTTTGTTGTAAATGACGTCTCGCGGCCGACCTGCAGTACCCTCTCAGCCCACCAGGTGTCCTACCTGCCACCAGCTCCACCTTCTCTCCGGGGTCTCCCTCGGTGTAGAGCGACGGGTGGCAGCGATACCCGATCTGACTGATCAGACTGGCGGGCAGCGCCATGTTGTCCCGACCAACCAGCACGCAGGGCCGACGCTCGTTAGCCAATGGGAGGGAGAGCATCTCCATCTTCTCTTGGACTGGAACGAAGAGACCGAGAAAGGAGAAAGCTAACATAAGCTGGCTTAAGATGTGACTACATGTATGTCCCATTTATCTTATATATATATATATTATATATTCAGCACATCTAGCATAAGTACAGGACAGGAGGAAGTTGTTTCTTTTGTGGGAAACAGGACCGATGACCAATGTTAGGGGAAGAGAGGAGACAGAAAGGACTCAACGTTTCATCAGCAGAACAAAACTCAGTACAGTCTAGAATTAGCTTAGCACGATAGCACGGCGTCTGAGAAATGTCTCCAAACGTCAGCTGCTAACTGAGTTTGTTCTCTAAACCTCCTCTGAGCCGATGACGAGGTTAGTTTTGATCTTAAAGAGCTTCCGTAGTGGAGCTCGGCCTGTACCATGACGTCACTCACTGTAGGGGTTTCCGGGATGTCCGTAGATGTGTTGGTAGAGTCCGGGGTGGACCGTGTTCCCGTAGTAATCCTCCTCCAGCTCTTCCTCGGTGGGCGGGTGAGAGGGAGGGGAGTCTGTGGGAAGACTGGAGCCTCCTGGACTGGAGCGCCCCCCGCCTGCCAGCAGGTAGGACTGCAGCCCCGGAACCAAACCTCCACCTGCACCCAGGTAGCACAGAGCGCTGCTCCTGGAGGACTGCAGGTCCCCGGCGAGGTCCACTCTGAGGACAGAACATAGACCAGAAGCAAACCAACCTGTTTGTTACCCTGCTGCTCAGGTAGTCTTTTGATTCGAGACTCTCTTTGGCTCAACAGCTCAAATCTGATCCACTTTCACATGAGGTCTTAAATCAGAAACATATCTGATGTTTCTCAAAGCGACCTCAGTCTGAACGGTCATGTCTCATTTCATCCGACTTTTACGTCATTGAAGTGAGACAGACGTCACAATGCTGCGGCGGAGGAGGCGGGACACGGCAATATCATAATCATCATCATAACTTTGTCCGATTGCACAAATAGGAAAAAATTGATACACACACGCTGACATGTGTAGCATCCATATTTACGTCCGTAAACACAGCATGCTGCGTGTGACGTCACATCTTCTTCTGCGTATGCACTTGGGGGGCCTGTTCACACTGGAGTCTGATGGCGGTCGCATTTAAATTATAATGTGAACAACTACGCAAAAAATCTCAGCAAAAAATCTGAATTGAGCATTAAGACCTAGCCTTTGTCTCTGGGAGCTGGATCATGTTTTATACAAGTAATATTCATACTTAAATAATCAATTTGAGAGTATTTCCAACTCAATAAATAAAATACCAATAAGTGCGATATTAATGGACATTTTACAGTATTTTACAAAAAGTAAAAGTTGTCTCTGAAGATATTTTGAAGCTTTAATCAAAGGTGGAAGTAACAAAGTACAAATACTTCAGTACTGTTTTAGTATCTGTACTTTACTGGAGAATTTATTTGTATGACAACTTTTTACATTTTTACAGAAATATCTGAATTTCTGCAGCGTACAGGCTCATTACTTTAGTTTGAATACATTTGACAATGATGTAATGGGGGAATATATATAATATATATATATATATAATATGTTTTATGTCTGAAGTTAGAAACAAACAATACTTGTACTGTGACACAGTTGGTCCCAATGGATGCTCTTTAACACTCTGCAGCCGCTGACAGACAGTGGACGCATTGGTTGAAGAGCTTACGTAACACTAAACTGGGCTTCTGAGTGGACCTTTAAGTTCAGGTCACAAGGTCACCAGGAAGCCTTAAAGCCATCCCAGAGATCTGCCTCCTCACCTGGCCTCCTCTCCTCCTCCTCCTCCTCCTGCTGCTCCGTTCTCCTCAGCAGGAGGAGTGTCGGCTCTCTCCTGTTTGATCCTG